GCTGTATAACCATACAAATGGAATGACTTGGAATAATTTATTTGAAGGATAACATATATACACCATCTCTAATTTATAAATGATAACATTGTACAAATAGAAAAAAAACAAGCCACTTGCAGTGAAAATTGAACCTGGAAATAAAATAGATGCACTCTTGTCCTTGGGGAGAATTTTGGGTGCCATGAATGCTCTACTGCTTGAGAATATTTTACTAGAGATAGAAATTATCCTTGCCAGGAAGCACCACAAGATCACAGTTTTTAGATTTTATAAAATTCCACATTGCAGGGAGGGATAAGAAAATACTGATGTGAATTTCACTAATTCTTGAAATAATCACTGTTTCTAAATTGAAGTGTTTTAAAGAAGATGAAGAGGCTACTCCTGGTTGCCAAATGTGAGGTATCCTGAAGTACAAGTGCTACTGACCTTCACAGCAACAACAGGAAGCCTTTGGTTTAATGCTCACTTGGGAAAGAGGAATGTGGTTCTGGATTTGAAATTTACAGATGTCGAAGACAAATTGCCTTCACCAGCCAGAGGAGTAATTTTGATGAATTTATTTTTGTTTTCCCATGGTTATGTGGATCACATTTCAATTATAGTGGCTGGAAGTCTGATGGTTGTTAGACAGAGTCTGTTCTACCTCTATACAGGATTTTTTGGGTTGGTATTTTGGCTCTGAAATTATTCAGGCTGTTAAACAAATGCAGCCTACAGCATCTATTCTGAAGAGAAAATATTGAAATGTGGAAAACTGTGATAATAAAGGGGAAAAGATTTAGCATTTCATTCTCCTTCATTGAGGGTTTCAGAGCTAATTTCTCCTTTTTTTCATTGGACGAGTAAAATTGGCTAGAGGAGGGATTGAGCAAATGAAAGTTTAGAGTCTTATCTAAAACAAACTCATGTGTCAGCAGTTCTGAATGATGACAGTTTTACACAGCTAGATATTTTAATGTAGCACTATTAATGCAGCTAAAGTTCTCCTGACTCTAGAGAAGTTAGAGGAAAAAGCTTTCCTCTATCAATTTGTCTCAGTGCTTTGCCAGAAGGAATCTACTTAATTATATCTTAATTTGTAGTTTTAATGAATGCCATGAAGTTGCTTTTTTTTTTTTTTTGGCAAGACAATACTCAGTATATTCTAAAAAAATGAGTTGTTACATGCATGGTACTAATTTTTTTTTTAATGTTTTGTTAAAAAATAATATATGATTCTAAATCTATGCTTTAAATAACTGCTTTAAAGAAACTCTAATGAGTTTGTAGTCTAAAGATTAAGTTTCATGTGCAGATTAAATTTCACCACATGTTAATTGAGAAAAAAATTCAGATTACCTTCAAAAAGTCAGGCAGAATAAAGCCCATACTGTTACATTAAAAAAAAAACCAAAAATTTTTTCATGGCACTAATAATTTTAGTTATATATGTATTGAATTGCACATCCTCATAAAAACAGTTTTATAATATTGCTTTGTAACTGTGTACTTTCTAGGATTTTACAAGATGTAAGTTGCTTTAGGAATTATTTTGTTATAACTTTTGATTCCAAAAATATTTCTCTTATTGTTTTTTTATACTCTTTTTAGGGGGTGGAATGCAACAAACTTAGGGTAAGTTAATGCTATTGGAATCAGTCCATTGTAAGAAGCTTCTCGATATAAGAAAAATAAGAAGCATAAACAAGACTTTCTTATAGCAATCTGTTATTTTCATCTATCAACGCATACTCCAGAAAAAGGCATTGAAGCACCAGAATTTATTTGCAGGCAAACTAAAATTATTCTTCAGATTGATATTTGCTATTTCCTGATACTCTCTGATGAAAGAAAATATAGTTCCTTGGTATACAAAATTTGTAATACTCATTCATAGTATAAATGGCTCCCAAATTATTATTTAAGCCAAACAAGGTTTCATTGTCACCAGGGAGTGTCAAGCAAGGTCTTGGGATTTGCATAATAATTGGTTTGAAACAAGTGATATTCCATACAGAACTATGTATACAGAGAGTAATGAATATGGTAGCCACAGTCAGTGAGATCAGTATCAGCACCATAATGAAAACGGAATATTTTTCAGTCTTTGGAGGTTTTCAAACATCCATAAAGCTAATGAGCTAATTTAGATAAGCATTAAACATGAATTTAATCACATTACTGGTAATTATTAGCAGACACACAATATGAAGGCCTTACAATTTCCTTCAAAAGTTGTAATTAACCATAAAAAATAAATTGTTTGACCTAATGTACTGCATATAAATGACTCAACTAAATACTTTTTGATTTAACAGAATGCTTAGCTTAAAGTAATTTTTCCTTATATATTTTCCAGCTGAAATGTAAAGTGTGTTTTTTGCCACACATTAGTTGAAGAGCAAGAGCTCATATGACTGCAAATGTTACTTACTGAAATCCAAACCCATTTCCTAAATACACACAGCATAACTTTATCTGATCTATGGCCTCCTTCCTATGCTGGTCATGAGTTAACAGGTAAGAACCTGCTGCCAATAATCTCCCCAGCTCCTGGGAAATAATTAAAGTTAAGCACGAGAGCAAAAGTCTTGACTTTTAGAATAAAAACTGTGCCCAAACAAGATTTGGAGTTTTGCTTGGCAAGCATGGACAGGAACATCTGACCCAAAAGTCTTGGGAGAGACAAAAAAAATTTCCTCCCTGGCTGCCTACAGCTACATTCCCAAAGCATTTCAGTGATAGAAAGCAATGGCTGGAGCATAAAAGTAAGTATATATATCTTGAAATTAAGTTTCCAGCTCTAGAAATGTGTGACCAGACAAATATTTTTAGTTTGCCTGTGTTAAAATAAAAGCAGCTCTTTCACAAAAACTTAAAGCTGGAGTATATAGAGTCTGGTCTCTGAAGTTATGGTTCTGGAAAGAAATGCTTAATAATCTAATTGCAAATCATGGTAGAGAACTGTTTTTTGAAAGCTGGCAAATGACTGCGACTCCTCAATTTCTCTCAGGCACAAGGAGAGGGCTTCTTTATTTAACAGAGTGGTGAACTTGTCTAATTTTTCATTTTTCAATGGACCGTTGCTCAATAACACATCTTCCATGCCTTTACTCATGTTACTCAGAAGTTACACTTTTTAAGCAATATTGAAAAATGGAGATTTATATGAAGAGATAAAACACCTTTTTTCCAATGGATTATCACTGATATAAAATTATTATCTTTTTAGAGGCTTGTAGGAATCCATATTTTTCACTGTAAAATTGGCAGATAAACCATTTTCTGTGCAATAAATTTTCAGTAAAAAATGTTCAGCCACCTCTCTGCCTAGCTATGCTCTCTGTGCCTCTGATTAAGCTGAAGCGTTTTTTTGGGCTCTCGCAGTTCAGCTCCCAACCTAGGATGTTCTTTTGCACACAATGATGTGGGTAGAGGGAAATCATGCCAATTTTCCTGCCTCAGAAATGAATAACAAAATGTGCCATGCTTAAATCTCATGTGGACTTTTTATGTAAAGTCTCTTCCAGCCCCCAAGCCCCACAATATCTGGCATAGGAACAAGCAGAATTCCTCAGATGGAAGAGTAGTTAATGAGCTGTAGGGATACACCATCAGCAATCACCAGGTGTAGGGCGCTTCTGTTGTGTGAAATTCTCCTGCTCCTTGCAGCTGTTTCTCCTTCCTGTCCTTCACCCAACTGCTCCTCACTCTACTTGAGAACATTTTTCTCTCCTTCCACCTCTCCCTTCCCCTGATACAGTCACAGTTTCTTCTTTTGTTGTTCTTCCAGCTGGGTAATCCTTGCTAAATAGAGCACTCCTGAAATATTGTGGAGCCGTGGTGACTCCTGCAATTGCATTCCTCAATTTATTTATGTTATACATCTTTCTCCTATGCTATGTTTATGTAAGCAGTTACAACAGTGGAACACACTATCTATAGACTAATTAGAATTTACTATAATAAACACAACTATGAATCACGACTTTCATTATTTCCTGCTCTAACAAACTGTTGATATAATCCAGGACAAGGACAAGGAAATGATCATTAATAACAAATATTTGGTATTTACTAATTAATTAAAGTTGCTCATTAATTTATTTGAAGGATGAAGATTCAAGAAGCAGGCCGTTCATGTAATTTACTGTAAATGGAAACCAAAATATCTTCTCTTGGAATTAAAATTTTCATGAAATTTTGCATATTGCATTAAGGACCTTGTGGGTCTTTAAACAGCTACAGCTGTTTAAAGAATAAAGTTCCTCATTTCATTCTCAGTCAGAGCACTTGGAAGCTGTATGGTGTATATGTGAAATTACCTTAAGCAAATTAAAAAAAAGATTTTTTTTGCACTCTGACTTCATGGATAGAATATTTCTTGCTGTGTTTTTGTGCTTTGTCTACAGCAAATGGAGCTGCAACCTTATCTCCCTGTCTCACCTTGATGTCTCTTGGTTCTGTTGTGTTTAGCTAATATAACACAAAAATAAAATATATTGGCTTCTTGCAAGAAGAGAAAATTGGGCTGAGAAAGGGATTTTAACTTTTTTTGTTGTTGCCTCAGGCACAGCTTGAGTTAAGTGACTCCCATGCCTATGAAACTGATTTCTGTAGCCTAACTACTGGAATTATTCTACACAACTACTCCTGTCCTCTTTTGCTGATATCTTTCCCGGTCTGTTTTTGTAATGCTCTAGTTGCACCTAGGCGTTCCCCTGCTGTTGTTTCACTATGTCAAAATTGAGTATGAGAAATTTCTAGCTGCTAAAGATGCGGGTTTGATTAACATATGATGCTGCCTTACCTCTTTCAGAGTCTTTATCAAGAGCCTAAAGCATTTCATGTACTGTGTTGATGTACAGAATTTTCCTTAATTTTGATGTATACTGGGAAAGCATGAAACCAATAAACATGTGGTGATAAGAAAGAGGCTATTAGAAAAAACAGCTTTAATAAGAACTCTGGAATTTTCCCTTTTTATAACAGGGTCTGTCTCTTAAGGTGTTGAAGGGCTGCTTGTTGGTGTTGAGGAGGTTGTGGAACTGTGCAGCCACTTCCCAGGACTGTGATGGAAAACGTGCTTTGGACAGAGCAGTTCTTACTCAGGCACTGGGGCTCCACTGCCTGATTTATGTCTGGGAATCCTCGTCTGGGCTTTTGGATCATGAAAACAAATTTGCTTGAGGTATGTTGAATATACTGATGCACTGAATCTGTATCTTTAAAAAAAGGGTTATTATTAAGGAATATCCCTTCAGGATATTAATTTATAGGAACATAAATTATATTAATATGATATTAATACATAGTAATGATACTTCTGGATAACAATACAGTAGGAATATTGTCCCAATCTAAGAAAACTATTTTTGAAACCAAAATAATCACAGCATAACCACAATGGGTGTCAGCAGAAGAAATACTGAATTCTGTTAGAGTTTCTTTTTGTTATAAATTACTCCATGTCTACAATATCACATTTCCAGTTTTCCAGAGCCAAGTGTCTCACTTTTGTTAAATGTATTTTGAAGTTCATTTGTGTTTGGTCTCTCTGAATTCAAAACTATCTTTTCAAGTTGTAAAATTTAGGTATGGATACAGTCAAGTAGTACAGTTCCAATATGCTATTGGAATATGATGTTTTTAAGTCCTTCTTGGTGGGACTAGATGATCTCTTAGATCATGGCAGAGGAACCAGTGCAGTTCCAATGGCATTTGAGATTTTTTTTCATAGAAGTTAATTATTAAATTTTATGATTTGCAACTGTCATTTTTAAGTTTAGTTTTTTATAAACAATGGACAGATATATTCATCACTAATCTGTGACAGAGATGCATTAATTTATGGCTTGTACTAGTCCAAAAAATTAAGATAGCCTTTCTTTTTTTACCCCATAGGAAAAGTACTTGAAAAAATATAGTAATTCTTCTTGTCTCAGTGAATCAGAATGGGTTATAATAGATAGAATAAATATTCCTGTACCACGCTTGCCATCCTCCTCCTCTTTATCTTTGCATTTTCAAATAAAGGAAAGAAAAAAAAACTGAAAAGAAAAATAAAAACCAGCGTTATTTTGACCTATGTAGCTCCTTCAGTCAGTAATTTCCTTCAAAAAAATCCATTAAATGAGTAAAAAATGATGTGCCTGTATGCCTGTGGAAGCAGAGGGCTCCAGTGGGATCTTGTTCATTCTGTGAGTTTCTGTGACCTCTGGATGAGCAGAGCGCTGCACATGAATATGTACCAGCCAGGCAGATGTTACACTTACTGACCTTCACTCACTGAAACTGATAATCAGTTTGGCTGTCATTCATTGTCCTTTTGAGGCTTTCTGGCAGCAAATGAATGCCAAGGAGACATATTTGATCCTGCAGGTCCTGCCAGAAATTAGGTTTGGACTTGGATATTTTGAAATGAATCTGAGTCGAGTTTGACAACAAAGGGAAGGCTGCTGCAGTAACATGTGCAGGTGATGCACCTCTCAATCTGTTTGTATTCTCCAGACAGGGAGAGATCGGGGCCCTTGCCTGCCTTTGATTCAGCTGTGGATATCAAGGCCAAATACACAGTAATGTCAAAACATATAATTTATTTAGTTATGCAGACAAACTGCCACGGAAGTTGCACCTATGTAACCTAGTGAATGGGGCATCAGTGTTTGAGTTAATAACAGGCAAAGAATTAATTACCAGCAGCAGAAGTCTTCAGCTTTGTAATTTGGAATTTAGAATGGGGTGAGGACACACATTAAATATTAAGATATTTTTTTTTTTACACAGCTGTTAGTGTCTTGCATAGTGTAGTTTTCCACTGAATAAATACTGTTTGATTAAAAAGTAAATTTCCTACATTTTTAATCATTTATGATTTTTGCCTTTTTTGTCCCCCTTACTATTTCATTAATGGTTTTCAGAGGTTCTGCAGAAGTAGATGAGGATGAGCAATACTGCACCTGTATGTGCTGGATAGAAGGAAAGTGGCAACAGAAGAATAATAATTTTTAAGAATCAGAACATATGAGGATTTTAAGGCTGCAGAGGCTGCAGTGGGACACAGGCCTGTGCTTCACAACCATCTAGAAACTCAAAAAAGGTAAATGTGCTGAGTGTGCTTTTAAAGTGGAGTGAAAAAGGTGAGGAGGAAAAAAAAAAAGAATAAAGAAATTTAATTAGTAGTAATTGACAAAGATTATCTTGTTATATACTGGAATTTAGACTGCAGGGCTGTAATTGCAGCTTTCAGCTGAGGCGCATCCAGGACAGCTCATCAGGAATGTCAGCTTGGTCCTTTTTCAGTCTGCAGTTTTTATGTGCTGGTCTATTCTTCTGCCATAGCTGTACATGTCCAGAGGGCTGTGATGAACAGGAAAGAAACCCTGGACAAGCAACCCCTTCCCTCTGCCTCTATTTGCTCAAAGGAGAGGAATCAGAAACTGATATTCTCTCAGGAATGTTAGGGTGATCCCTTGATTATTTTAGCCTTCAATTGCCTTTCCATTAGCAGTGGTGTTCCACTAAAACGCAGGTGTGAGGAAAAGAAGCACAATCCTGCTTCTAAAATCCTTTAGTGAGCTCCTAGGGTGGAAGTCCTTAATGGTTTTGCTGCCCAGCTGACCTCTGAGTGTTCCAGGGCCTTTGGGGTGTTGTTGGCCCTGCTGTGTGAGGTTTGCACCTCGGTGCTGAGCCAGGGCTGGCAGTGACCTGGGCTGTTCATAGCACAGCTCTCAATTTTCACAGAGGAGTTTTGAGTTTTTCAAGCACTCTCCAGCCACGTGAGTTCCCATGCCATTCACTATCCCAGGCTCTTTCTTATTCCAGAGCTTTTAGCCTCTGTTTCCGTGTCACTGCTGAGTGCAGATATGATCCGTGCTGGTTAAAGAGGTGTTCAGAAAGATGAAAGGAAATGGCTTTTAGACAAGGGTGAAATAGTATCTCACTTGTATCCCTGAATGTATTTTTCACTTTGAGAATTTATATCATAATTTAAAAAGAAAAACCAAACCTTACTGCAGATTTTTAAGAGTTTTAAAGATGTGTTGTTAATAATATATATATGTTCACTGTAACTACATTATCCATAATTCCATGTGGGTGTAACCAAGTAAATTTCTTTTAAAACTTTCAATTTTCTTTTTAACAAATTTCAAAAATTTTGTTTGAAATCTAGCAATTGTATGTAAGAAGTTTGATTTCTCCATTGACTTTTCTGCTTTTCCAGTTGTGAGTTCCAGCTGGAAAAATCTGCAGTGCTAATGGCAACTAAAATCTGATCAGCAGCACAAAACCATCCTCAGAGTGATAAACAACCACTGAATCCTTTGAATCCTGTCCTGCCTGAGACCTTAATCCTAGCTTCAGAATGAACACTTTTTAAAATATGGAAGACAATTCCATCTCTGAAAAATTGTTATCCCAGGGATTTCTACAACACAGTTTCTCAGTTCCAAAGGAAAAAAACCCAGGAAAATATTTCTGACTGTGCAGCTGAAAATTAAGAATCAGGTAGGGTGATATGAGGAGAATCTAACTTTGCAGTTTAGAGAATTAAGAAAAAAGATGCCAATGTTTATTTTCCAGGTTATTTGGCTCAGAAAAAAAAAAAATAAATCCCTGGGTATGTTTATTCTCCACTTATTATCTTTTTCAGGGTGACATTTAGTGTTATCCACAAATGTGTGCAGAAGTTTGCTTTGTTTGGTTTATTTTGTCTGGAAAAAAAGCACTAGTTGGCTTGTACCTTACCAAAAAACTGTTATTGTTGGGCTTACACATGCAAGTAAATAAGATATAAAGTGACATAATGGTATCTATTCAGCCAATTCCTGTTTGTTGAACCAGCAACCATTAGTGGTTGTGAATGGGTCTAATTGTGCTGGTGTCAATGAGGTTGTGCTTAGTCCTGTGAACTTGAGAACAGTTGGTTATGGCTGAGGAAAAGGCTAAATAATAGGATTTGAAACAGTGTTTTGCAATTACCAAGGCACTGTGACTGAATATTTGTTTTACTCTGGAGAGAGGGATTTTGTGTCCAAGCGGAGATGCCAAGCAAAGATCCTCAAAACTAAATGTGCAGGACTGTTTCAGTCTGAGTCTGTAGTCAATTCTGTGGTGCTGTATGATGTGCTGTTTCCAAATTCATGGTTCAGATGCCAAGCAGAGATCCTCAAAACTAAATGTGCAGGACTGTTTCAGTCTGAGTCTGGGAGATTTGTAGTCAATTCTGTGGTGCTGTATGATGTGCTATTTCCAAATTCATGGTTCTGAGTCTTTATTGGACTCCATGATTTTGATATAGCCAGGTCACCTCCAACGTGAGTAACTCCTTTATTTGTGTTCCCCCATTGCACAGATCCCAAATATTTTTAGGTCTGCCAAAGTGGTATGATTATAGTTAAGAAGAGGAAGCATCAGATCTTCTGCTGAGGAATGATGATTAAAGAGATGGTATTTTTATCTCAATTATTATTTATTAGATGGACACAGAAATCACTGTCCAATAAACAAGTGGCATTAATGCAATGGTGCCCTATAGTCCCTTGGCAGATGAGAAGCTGTTTTCTTGCTGGGACCTTAGGAAGTGATGGGAAGGAGGAATTGGTTCACTCAAGATGCTGGAGACTGAGCCTCAGAAGTCAAGTCGTTCATCCAGCCTAGGGAAAAGGTGATCCTGGTCTTGAGACTCTAATCATTTGTTTGGTTTTCCTGTGGCCTGGCTGTTCCCTTGAGGTAGATCAGGGCACAGGGAGGAGTTCAGAGTCTGCACAGTTTTTGTGTCTGGTACTGTGCAAACAATGTAAACAACTGCATTGCAGTCAAAAGGGATGGGATGCCAGGGAACTGTACCCTAGAGTGCCTCTTCCTCTCTCTGCTGGACTGAAGAATATCATTGGCATGTACATTTTCCTCTGTTATAACTAGTATGCTGGTCATACTTAAATTTATCATAATCCACTAAAAGAAGTTATTGGGTTTTTCATTACCAATCATGGGTGACAGGAAGAAAAGGACTTTAAGAAGGAATCTGGAAAGGACATCAATTTTGAAAGGCAGAGAGGAAGGCTACAGAAGGAAATGTAAACAGATTTACAGAATACCTCACTTGGTGTTACTAGTGAAAAATATCAATACACCAGGAATGGTAAATTCGTACGTTGGTATGGGAACCAATGTCTTTTGTTTCAGCACAAATTGCATTCTGGACACAGCTGAAACCTATGGGAAGGTGAAAATCTCTGATTTCCTGGCATATGTGAGATTTAGCAGAAAATGATGTTGAGGACAAGATAGGAGTGCAGTCACCACAACTACCTAGAAAAAGGCTAATTTCAGTACCTATGTGCTGAAAAACACACCCCTGTTTAAATAAAAGACTGTAGTAATGTGAACTTACAGGGAGCAATTATTTTTTTGTCAGCTGTGTTGGTCTCTCAGCCTAAAGACACCTGTGGAACAAATTCCCACTCTCATTTCAATCCAGAAAATTCACAGGTGGTTCGTGTTAGATTATGGAGACCTTCATGGCCATCATTTTGATGTTACTACTCCTCTGCTCACTGTATTTCAGTGCTTTGATCAGGGGATTGGTTTTCCTTATAGTCACAGATGGTTGCTGTTTGACAGGCTGACAGGCAGACAAAGTAAATGGGCATGAAAATATAATATTCCTTTGTTTTGGTGAGTCAGGCCAATGTCATGTGGGTAGACATTGCTCTGTAATCCTTCTAATTGTGCTAGGATGGGGAGAGGTTATTGTGTATAATGGCACATAGGAACCTTGCAGCTTTCTTTCCTGGACTGTCTTGTTGAGGATTTGATCAACAAATCTGAATTTACAATGATTTTTCACTGTTACCTTTTCAATTAAGGTGGTAAGCATTGCCATCATAGAGCACTGTGAAATTTGGAGGGGTTAGTCTGGAAAAATCCCATCTGGCAAAGATGTACCTGATCCTGCATATCAATAGGAGTTTTGAGCAGAGATCAATAGCACGATGAAAAGCTACATAATTATTGTGTGTCTGTGCCTGTATCTACTTGCCTGAATTCACAATGCAAAAATAAATAAAACGCTCAGAAAAAAAACCCCAACCAAACAAAACAACACTTCAGGTCACCAGAGATACAGCTCCTAATATAGCATTAAATTAGTTACCCAGGCAGTGTAAATGCGTTTATGAAATATTTCTATATTATGAAAAGAGAAATCTAATAAATCAATACTGATTTTGAAATTGATTAAATACTTTGGATTAAGGACTGTTGCACAGCATTTGTGGCAACTCTTGACGTGACATCTGGTCAGTGAATTCTCCTGGGGTAATTTTGTGGGATTGGAAACCTGGTTTTCTGTAAAGAAATTGTTACTGACCTATTGATGCGATGTGACATTGCTTCCTTCTTTGGCAGCTTAGGCAGTAGCAGAGAGAGTTGGTCCCATCAGCCCTTACACTGATCTGTTGCCAGGTAAACAAGAAACAGAATCAGATAGGGAACAAGCTGACTGCCCTCTCTCTCCCCTCAAAACAAAGCAAAAAAATAAATTTATGATGTCATCTTTTCCTCATTGCTTATCAATTGAACTGAGCCTAAAGCTGTACTTTTTGTCATTACCTTTAGTTTTATTCTAAAAAATGAAGATATAAGTGAAATGGATTTTGCTTTATTGATACATTACCTAGTTGAAGAGCTACTCTTAGTATTCAGTACTTTAAATAAATTTTTTGGTTATAGTAAATAGTTGAAAGAAATCTCCATTACCAGAGACCTTTTTATACAGTTTTTTTCTTTTCTGTGTCCTGAACAATTTGGCTGGATCAGGTTTAGCTGGTCAATTAAGATAAATAGTGGCTTGTTAAGCACTTGTTGAAAAGGAAAAGTCACCATGTTATTCCTAAGGGCATGGGAGAGAAAAAAATGTTGATTTTTTTCTTTATTATTTCATCTATTTTGGAACCTAGTGGTTTTCAGGCCATAGCTTCATATTAAGATCTTTGAGAGAGCTCTTGCTACAAAGACTGCATATCCCATCAATCCAAAATTAAAAGAGTAAAACACACTTTGGGGCTGGTTTCAGATGCTCATCTTCTGCCCACGGAAAGCTTGATGGTGGGGCTTGCAACCAAGAATTTTCAGAACTTTGGTCATATGTGAGGAATCCTAGACTGGCCAGGAGTTCTGGCCTCCAGTTTTGGAAGAGATATTTTGGTTCACTTTGGTATCTTGGATTTGTTAATCTCAATTTTCAAGGACAATTTTGCATTAAATGTGGTGTCTCCAGCTACTGAAAACAATTAGTTTATTTTTACGGAAAATATTTTAAACCATTCAATTTCTTAAAAATGGTAGATATTGTGATTTTAAAATAGAATTTGCTTTGTTCCTTAGGCATACAATTGCAAGAGATTATGCTGCAGTAAGAAAAAGAGTAGGTGAAACTTTCAAATCTGTGTATTCAGATATTTTCCTAAAATTCCTACTATTCCTAAAATATTAATTTACAATCTGTGTAAATCAACACTACCTCTGTACCAATAGCTTGCCCTCAGCTGGGTAAACACAGTTGAGTAAATTTCTGTAATATAATATGACTATCAGTAGAAACAAGTACAAATATAGATGTAAAAAAGATATTTTCACAGATGAAATTACTTGGTATTTGCTTACTGATGCTTTCTCATATTGAGATAAATTAAGGTCAGGAAAGACCATATCTCAAAAAAAAAAAAATAAGGTCAGAAGAGAGAGAACACAGAAAATCTCATGAAGAAGCAATAACCAGTAATAGTATTGTAAAAGCGTTAAAAAATAAGTATGGAATGCATGTATTGAGTTTTAAGGATAAGTTTCTGGATGTTTGAAGTGGATGCTAGTGATAAAATTATTTTTGATACTGAGTACTAAAAAAAGCTAAAGATATTTCTGTGTAGCATTTGTGTCTGAAATAATTATTGATCATGACTAAGTCAATCTGCCCTGGAAACATGTTTCTTTTCAGTTGTACTTGTGTTAGATTCTGCTGTTGCCATCAAGTTCTGTTGCTTCTCCCAGAATCTACAAGAGGCTGATATTTATTTCTTCCAGCTCTGTGTTATGAAACAAAAGATGGATTGGAAAATAACTGAAAATGTTAATGGTTTTATCACCGAATTGTTCTTCAGTATATGACACGTGAGGCTTTTTGGTGAGCTGTGTGAAGATCAAGGCACAGATACACTGTGATCCATGTAGGCTCAGGCTTAATTTCTGAGTTAAGTCCCAAGCTTTGATTGTGTGCCACTCCATTGTGGTCTTTCTATTATGAATCTATAATGGCAGCTCCCCAGTCTGCCTTCTGAAGAATCCTACAAGCTCTCTACACTGCAAACCTCACTTAGATCTGTAAGACAATCTGGCTGATAGACATATTTATTCAATGTATCCCATGGCATAATTTTTTTACTGTTTCCAGCTCCAGAACTACTACCGTTAATTTTCTCTCCCTCGGTTTCCATAAAATTTATGTCTTTTTTGAAAAAGGAAAATAAACCCAAATGACTAAAACATTCTTATTATTTCAGTTCAAACATTATGACTAGGCTGTTAACTTTGGTTGCTGCTAGCAAGAGTAACATCATCCGTCTACCCTTCCTCTGTGTTGAATTAATGGCAGGGTTTTTATTCATCTTAGCTGATTTTTTTCACTTTTCTCCATGTGTCTATCACTTCAGGAAAATTAATGAGTCAACATTGTACCAGTTCTAGAGAACTGATAAATGAGAAAAATCAGTCAGCTTGTTCAGCTTGTGTCTTTGCATTAAATCAATCTTGAAATAATTTATCCTTCCCACGAGCCTTGCAGATACACAGATCTCATTTATGCAGCTTCTGTGCAACTTTCTTCACAGCTTTCATTTGATTTGCTTATCCATGTGCTTCTGCTACTAATGTTGGATACTGGGCTTAATAGGATGGATGGCAAGTCTTCGTGGTGTTTCAAATACTCTGAGTAAATCAGATCATTAAAATACAGCTTAACCTAATGGATCACCCTGGAGTGTAAAATAAATCCTTCTCTACATTAAAATGAACAGAAATGTGGTTTTTTAGCATCTTCTACAGACTGGAAAATAACTATTAAAATGTATGTGGAAAAACAGTATGAAACAGTATATTTGACTTATAATTCCCTAAAGCTCAGCTTTTACTCCTCTGTCCACATCTTCCTTTGGGATTTCACTTAAGGGAGGGGCCATTCCTTTGCATTTCGTTCACACAGTGCCCTGGCATATGGTTGGGTGCTCCTTGTTGCAGGAATAGATTCAGTTTTTAATCAGAAACCTCATTAAACATTGGTTTATTATGCAGTATTCCAGTGCAATCAGATTTATATATGCCAAGACCTTGGTCAAGAATCGAAATGTATTAAAGAACGAAACAGAAATTTCTGAGCTTTGTAAGGCACATTTTAATATTATTGCTTTTTCTGACAGGTGAAATTGTCTCAAAGCTCATTTGTGCCTGGACTGCAAGGGCTGAAGTATCTCTCTGGGCACTGCAGAACTGCTCTGGCCTCAGAGCTCAGCACCCCCCACACCGTGGGGGAGACTCTTGGTTTAGACACAGAACCTGCTTGATCATGTGGCTGCTGACATCCCTTGTCAGCCACAGAGGACTTAAGGATTTTGATCACCAAGGCTGTTTGGACTTGGATGCAAGAGCTCCCAGGGGTATGTTTTTGGGGTCCTGATTCTTCACTCTTGTCTGGTCTTCCATTCAGTCTGTGCATGTTTTATTGGCTCCTGTCTTTATTTTATTTTGTAGCAATTGGTGTGTATGTAGTGGGACTGGTGCCAAATTGGCTCTCTGCCTGGCAGAGCACTGGGATGCAGCAGGACCATGTCTCCAAGCCTGGGAATGAAGAAGTGTCCCCAGGCTAAGTCAAATGTCAAAGGCACTTGTTCTGGGGAGGACTGACTGGAAGAACAGAGGTAGGAATGTGATCTGCTAACACTTCACCACATCGGAGATGTGGTAATTCTAGGAAAAAAATGCCATCATGGATGATTAGGACACTGCTAAATATGCATTTCAAGCAGAAAATTAAGAATCCTTCAAAAGACCTTTAAGATTCTCTATAAATTAACATTTGCAGCAGGTATTTTAAACTAATTTTGTTGCCTGTCCCACTGCTCTTTGCCATTTGATGCAGTTCCTGCTCAGCCTTGCTTTTTTGCTCTGTTTGGCTTATCTCTGGCCAAGGCTTTAATCCCCTAATAGCAAACTGAGGTCATATCAGCACTCAAATTCTGCTGTGATGTGCAGCCACTTTATCAATGTGAGAAGAGCCTCACTCCCTGACCCTGGGAGCTGCACTACAGGGCTGTACACGTGCCACCAACATGCAGGTCACACAAAACAGCCAGCACCAGGCACCACCCCTGAGATTTCCAGCAGAGCAAATAGACGTGTCCACCTGAAAGAAAGAACAAAGGCTGGAGCTGCTGCTTCACAGGTTTGAGGATTACTGCTTCTGCTTGAAAGATAATTATATGTTTTATATACATTAAATGACTGTACCAACTGAAGAGTAATTTTAGCATAGAAAGAAAAAGTAACTTAAAAAACAATCAAAGGATAAACAAAAAAGATGAATGTTCACATTTTTATTAAGCATCAAACAAATGAATAAGCATGAATAGTTAAGAAAAACATAAGTATGAATAGTTAAGAAAAATATTAGAAAAAACCCTGAGAGATACAAAGTCTTTACTTTGTCTACCACCATGGTTTCCTCCAAGTCTGCCAGTTTGACTCTCAACTGACATCAGGCCTCAAAAGGACTTATTAATTTAGGATGTGAAGTATTGCTTTCTCTAAAAGCTGAAGAAAATATAAAATCAGAACAGAACTCAAAGGCTTAAATACTAAATTTCTTAGTAGTGAGACAGGAAAAAACCAAACCTGAACGAGTGCTCTGGGCAAGTATTTGATTTCTTTTTTAAAATTCTTTTTCATAAAATGCAATACAATGTTTAAAAAGTACAGAAATGCTGATTGGAAGGTCTTCTTCTTTACAAAGAATATCTCCAGAAAGAATTTCATGGTGCAATCCAATTAGCCTTTCTGTAGCTGCAAAATGCTTCACAAAACCAGCTCCCTAAGTTCATGTGTATTGAGCAGTTCAAGTGAAAATCTGTCAGTGGAACTGAATTAAAACCATAGAGCCAAGGTCTCTCCTAGTATAAATCATGTACATTGCTATAATAAAACAACATACAACAGAAGCAATTCTTCACACCACTGAGTTTTTGGCATGGGAGTTGGTCCCAGAATCCAAGTCTTACTCTTCCAGCTTCCATATTTCATAATGTGTCAGAAAACCTAAACTACAATATGCTGTAATAATTTTGTGAATTTGAGAATAGAATAAATGTGACGTGGGATCTGGAAAAGCTAAAATAAGTTGGGATTTATCTTATTTTACTTTTTGAATGGTCTTGGTCATGCTAGTAAATGGCACTTTCTCATGTGTAAAATGAAGTGGAGGTATTGTACCATGTCCTGATTTTACCAGTTGAAGCCTCTTTCTTTTTCCAAAGTCATAAAGTATATGTCAAGCACTCTGAGCAACTCCTTTATGCCTTGCTGGCAGTGCTGCAATTAGTATCACACTGTGTCATATTCGAAGCTCAGTGACTGTTAAATGTGCTATGCCTGCACCACACTAACTACTATATCAGTCATTTCAGATGACCCCCTTGAAAATTGCTGCCAAAAGTTTATATGTCAGAAACCACTTTAAAAATGCTTATGAAGTGAAGAATTTTCACAGCTCTTTACCTCCTTAAATACTAAAAACTGTCAGTCAATGAAATCAGGCTTGACAGTTTATATTCCAAGACTCACTGTTCAAAGATTTGCTTGAAAAATTATTCCTATCATCTGTCAGCAAGTGGTTTCTGTGTTTAGTCAGTTGCTCACTTTTATATTGTAATGCCCACTGTAAGTTGCTACAAAAGACCTGCCAGAACCCTTGGTATTGTTTTTATATAGGGTGAGCCAGGGACATCTACATCAGCAGTGTCTTCAGTTCCAAGCAATTAAAAAAAAATATGACCCAGAGATTTACTGAGCAGTTAACAACTGATAAAATTTTTAGAGAAATGAGATGAGGGGTTTCTTAAATTTTAAGCATTTGAACTGTAAACTTATCCCATACATCCACTGCCAAGGGTGAGGTTTGATTTATGGCTGAGTTTCTGTTTATTTCTTTTAATTTCCTGGAAAAATATACAGGTGGGACTTCAGTACTGTGGCTGAGGTCCAAGCCTAAGCTCACAACATCCATAGGATAGAATTTAGTCTTTATTTTAAAAAAGCTGCATAGCCATCAACATAGTGCTAAGAGTCAATATCTGCAGTGAACTGCTATTAATTAAAAGTTACTCACTCTTTTATCTGTAGATTAATGACTGTTAAAATTAATGAAAAATGTCTACCAGGACTTTGTGTGCTCTGTTGCCAACCTGTACCAAACTTTTTCTCTTCCTTTCCTCATAACACATAGGAACTTCCTCAGTGCCATCGGTCTTTTTGTTCAGCCTGATCAGGTGAGGGATCTGGGTGTTGGGATTATTCAGAAAGCAAATTTATCTATTCTGAAGGCTATCAACAGGACCTACCCAACAGACCTGCTCAAGGCATAATAAATGTCTGTCCCTAGGACTGGGTTCTTCACAAAAAAAAAGTCATTTAAAAATTGCCTTATGTTCATCTGTCTTTTATATAGGAGAAGACAGGTTCAGTGCTCTCTTCACTGTCAAAGGATTTAATTTCCTTTTGTTTGCTTACCATGAAATGACCCATGAGTGAAGTGCAGGACTTTGTCCTGTCCCAGGAAGAGGGAAATTCAAAAAGAAAAGGAGGATATCTGTGTCCTTGTCGTTTAATTGCCATTGTGTTTCACGTGAAACTCATTAGATGGAAAAAAAAAATAATGATGGGACTGAGAAATGACTGCAACCTGCCCTCTATGTGTTAACTGTGGAGATTTTTATAGCCCTGTTGTGGGTGCTGCCTCTTTTTCCAAAAAGGCATACTGTCCCTGAAAAAGAGCTAAAAGAGTTTTCTTCCTCATTTAAAGCTGTCTTTTTCTTCTGTGAAATGGGTTTTGTAGATCCAGGAGAATTAGTCAACCAGCAGGTCATTCTGTCTGGTGCTGCCTTGCCTCCTGCAGAAAGGAAATGCAACTTCCACAGATCCATCCCCACCAAATGCCTAGTGGCAATCAGGAATTTGCCTGCAAAGGATAAACTGTATCACAGAGCTGCCTCTTAATAAGGTATGTCTATATATTCCTTATAAACATCTGTGTGTTTCCGAATGCGTTCATAAGTATTTATGGCTATAACAACATAGGTATAAAAAAACTCACTATAAATGATGTTAAAGGAATGCATAAACCATGCCTAAAAGTGTCAGTGGCAAAATCTTCACTGAATTTCATGGGCATTCAACCAGGCACTTCCCAAACAAACAAGGTTTTGAGATTCTCTTCTGGAGAGAATTGTGGGAATCAGACTGACCTACTCTAAAACAAAGGCAAATTATCTCTCTTGGACAGATTTCTCTACTCTGTAGAGGAATTGCTCTGAGAATGGAGCCATATTTTAATTATATGACATAAGAATAGGTTGTATCTAATATTCAGTTTAGATACATCTTCCTTGGTGTCATAAATAAGTGTGATCTAATATAGCAGGTATGATTTAGTAAGAAATAAAATAAGTTGCAAGGGAGTTACTGCTTTCAAACCTTTTTTACCTATATAACACCAGTCAAAAATAAAGGACTGCTAAATAGAGACTCTAGGGGAGATGAGAGGAGGATCTCTTATTCGTCTATAGGGACAATACTGCTTGGGATTTGGCAAAATTTATTGCTGAATGCAAAATCTTAGTATGACTGCTATAGGTTCTGGTTTTTTGTTTTGTGGGGTATTTCTTCCCAAAGAAGCCCAGAAGCCACCATGGAAGATCTGCAACCATGGAATTTACTACAAAGCTTTTGAGGTTTAGATTGCCTGATGAGAGCATGAAACAAGTCAGACTAGAATGCTGAATCTTAATAAAACTGGACTTCTTAACCACTTGCTGTGTTATCCACCATTGCTGGAGTGATGAACCTGCGTGAGAACACAGGAATCATTTTACACTTTGTAGATGCTTTTCAAAGAATTATGTTCCAAGTGCACAATAGAAATATGTGATACTTTGTGTATTTCCCAAAAAATGCAAAATGATGATAATTTCAGCATGAGGAACATCGCCTGCCCTAATCTTCAGGCTAAAGCAGATGTGTTTGAGAAAATGTCTTACTAAGATGACAAAAGAAGGTAAAGGGTGCTGAAGAAGAATTTTGCTGTGAGTAGTGTAAGCTGTTCTTTCTCTTTTTTTTCTTGATGAAATTGAATAACATAATAAGCAAGCCTCAAATAGGCTGGGCTAATATATTAATAGGATGGGTAACATTATTAAAGGTGGTCCTTCATAAACAGAAGTACTATCTAATCAGTATTTATTGCATTGCATTTCTGGCTATGGGGCTACCCTTATCTTCGTTTCTATTTTGATCATACCTCAGTGGAGATAAGGTCTAGGTTGTGACTGATCCTGACAGACAGAGCAATTCCACTTGTAATTCCTATAGTTATTTGCCATATTACATTCCTGGATCAGTTTAAAATCCTCCTGCTGCTTCTGGAGTTCATGGCTTGTGGAGAAAATGGTGACCAGACAGGTGTCTCAAGCTGTTGTTTGGTGGTGGGAACACAATACATTTTCCATGGGTCATCTGAACAACCAAAATATCTACATTTGTGATTTAACTTGGATCTGTCCATACCCTGCTGTGGAATTCAGGAATTTGTTGGGGTTTTTTATAAACCATAAGAGTGAACAGTGAGCTTTTTCTGAGCTCGAATTTTCAAGGAATTTCTTAGCAGTTTTTGTTGTCCAGAGAAGGATTTGCTTTCCAAACCTGTTTAAAATCCTTTGCCTTCTCAGTGCCTTTGCTCTTTGACAACCTGGTCGGGGGAGTTCAAGCAGGGGTCAGTCCTTGTGTTGCCTCTCAAGTGCTGCTAGATGGGAAGTCATTCGAAGGTGCTGCATTCTTCTCCACTCACAGGAACCAGCCCTTTGTTAAATTAATGCTTTATATTCACTTATATTCAGCACTTATAAGACTTCTGCCTTATCCAGAAATGCCTCTTGAACCTATGTGTTTATCTACTGCTTTTTACAAGCGCTGTCAAACCTTGCTATTGCAGTTTATGTTTTCAGCTCTAGGTTTTCATTCTCTCCCAAGAGCTTTCTGCCTCCCAGCAATGTTAGCGGGAGAAAAAAAGTTTTACCTCAAATAATCTGTGGTTTAGAGTTTCTCCTGACTCTCTTGTAATTCTGGTAATCTGAGGCAGAGTAGGAGGATGCTAATTTCTACAGCACAATTTGCTAGAATTATCTGTTAATCCCAACATATCAGAAACTTTGTACAGGATAAAAAAATATTTCTGTGGTCTGTTTCAGATTTAACAGTCAGGCTGAAGTCTCTATTGAATGTTGTACTAGTCTTTCTTGTGAAGACCCCTGGATACTATTTCAAAATACATAAACCAGCCTACATCCAAATTGTGCCAACCTATATTTTATCTAGGATGATCTTTTGGCCATATCTGGTAACTGAGGCAATATTCAGGATCTTTGGCATCAGCAAGCACATCTTTTGTCAGTGCTCTTTTAATGGTGTAAGCCTTGCAAGGTACAACTTCCCCAGCTGGGCTGGGGGCATGGAGGGGAAGGGAGAACATCCTTCCAGAAATCACTTTTCAACTGCTGGAGTCTCCAAACACAGTTATCTCTTGTTGGTGCCACCCTCAGTTGTAGAGATATCTTTTTGTCCCCTCAGATCTCTATGGCTGTTAAAACACCAGCTTTGTTAGTCTATTTCCTTTAAGCCATGGCAAATGTTAAATCACTGTTTTACTAAATATGTTTAAATTAAGTGAACAAATGAGTTATAGTCTGATTACTTCAGTCAGCACTTTGTTTAGTTGCTGTCTTGTCACAGAAAAGATTAAATATATTAGTGTGGAGTTGCCAATTTGGTTTCTGGCTTATCTTGGTGCAACATTTTAATTTCCCCTATCTGTGATTCATGATATTTTGATACCTCAAGGAGAAAAAAATCCTGGTGGATTTTGTTTTTTGTTTTTTCTTTTTTTCCCTATTATTTTGGAGTTTTCTCATTTTTTCCTCCCTGTTTACCTCTCTGCTCTTTTTTTCCCCCTTTACTTTTTCTTATAATTTTCTTTATTTTTGTTGTTAATATTCTATTTTT